GGGAGGGAGGAAGGAAGGAAGGAAGGAAGGAAGGAAGGAAGGAAGGAAGGAAGGAAGGAAGGAAGGAAGCTGTCTAAAGCCTTATTTGTACTTTTTTACTTGTAAAGTAGTTAGCAGTATGAAAAAGAAATAGAAAGCATACCCTTGCTCATTTGGGGCTCAATCTCTTCATCCATATCAAAATCTTCTAAATCTAGGAAGTTGTCTACCTAGAAAAGGATTAACATTATTTTATGCATATTAGACTTGAAGAAAAAAAATGCCATGAAGTCAATGAATCCACTTCCACAACACTCAACTGAGCAGCAGAAACTACTTTTCTCATCAATTCTGACTTCCAGCTCAAACCCTTTGTGTTCATGTGCTCTCCCATCTGAAAAAAAGCAGTAAATTTGGATGCTGGCCTGGATTTTGCAAGCATCATAGTCAGCTCTCTATGCTGAAAGGGAAAAAAAAAAGAGGTTGGGAGTTTTTGAAAAGAGACCTTGTCCCACATCCTCTCCCAGGATTTATACTACCACCAAGATAGTCCTAAACAGGGTTTCTGGTTTTTGTTTTTGTTGTATTGCTTCTTGAGCAAATGGTGGTGGTGAGGATCTGGCTATTAACATAACAGTCCACTTCCTTTTAATGTTGAAGAGCCAGAGAGAAGAAAAGAAAGAAAGTAGGAGAGAAAAGTTCATTCCGAACAAAATCATCTTGCCCCAGGTAAATCACAAGAGAGGTGAGCAGGGCAAAAAAGCCAGTGTGCTCTCTTTCAAACAATTAAAACTGAAAATTACTTCAAAGGGAAAAAGCAGAGCAAGTGACCTTTACAGACACAATAGCAGCATTTCAATGAAAAACTATTCCACCTGGAATACTGCTTTCCAATGCAAGCTGACAATGAGACATTTTATATTAGCAAAATGGTAACATTTCAGACATGAACTAATTCATCTCAGGGGAATATCAAGGAGTGTAAATAAGAAGATGATTTCACCAGTGGTACAAATGACAAGTAGTAAAAGCATAAGGTCGAAATGCATTTTTGTGCTCATGACCTAAACATGGGCCTAACAAAATACTTTAAAATTACAAACTTAGACTTCAGAATTGCAATTCAAAAGCAGGCTGACTTTCTCCTCCTAGTTCTACTTGTAATAACAGACATGGCTACTCCATAGAAATTTAAAATGGTAACTTCCATTGCTTATAAGTATATGAATATGTTTATTACATGGCATCCAAAAGTATCTGCCATATGATGGTTTTAGTAGTAAAATTTGAATATCTATCATATTATGTTGTAATTTTTCTTAATGGTATATGCTAAAGGAGATTGAGGACACTTTACTTTCTCAAAGCACCCCTTCTATTTGTTAAGCTTTAAGGAAAAAATATCCAGAACCAAGCCAAGCAAGAATAGTTTAAGATATTCAAACACCAGTTAAAACAAACACACACACACACACACGCACACACACACACACACACACTCACACAGAGAGAGAGAGAAAGAAAGAAAGAAAAGAGAGACACTAGCAAGGAAAAATGTGCTGAAATCTCCAACTTTGTATAAAAGAAAGCAAACGAGTCTTATGATGTTTGTTTGTTTGTTATGGGTTTTTTACCATGCAAGAAAATTGAATTGTGCCTTACCTTGATCTTTCCTGCCCTGTTCAGATCACCTTGAAGGAAACTGCCGACTTTTTGACCTTCATCCATCACTATCTGAAAATACAGTGAGGACATATTGATGGGAACATGAAACAACTAAAAATAAAGAAGCTGATCTTCTGCGATTTGTTAATTACTTATTCATGAAAGACTATTCTCTAAGCCATGGAAGTAATCAGGGAGCAGGTTTTAAGAGGTGTGACTTCTACTCCTGTCCTCTACAGCCTCATCTACAAGGTAACCTACAGACCAGTTAGCCCAGCATTTTCATGTGTGAAACAGAACACTCCCCACCTCCTATTCCTTCCAAGGAATCTGTGATGGACAAATCGGAGAATGCAATACAATATCTTCAGGTTACCAGAAAACAAGGCCATCTAGCAATTCTTTGCTTTTCACATGCTGATCAAAGAACCAATATATATTATAGACCCAATAACCAATAATTGCCAGTAAAGTATGAATCCTCTAAGAAAAAACAGTTCCTATCTCACAATCATCACTGAAAGCAAATTCTGGAAATAAGGAACCATAGGCCTCTGCTGTTTATTAACACATTGCTAACTCGGAGATTTTTGTTCCCTTGTGTAATCTCTTATATAATTACATTATCTCTTACATAGTTCTGTCTATAATATCACAAAGAAGACATGATAAGGCAGAAATAGAAACTAAACGGCTTAAAAAGTAGGACAATGGCTGCCATTATTCCTTGATAATGTAAAAACAAAGCCAAGGAGAATATGAAGAGTTTCTAAAGTCTTGAAGATTAGGAAGGGAACACCCAACATTTACTGCAGAAGCCAGAACATTTTCTACTTTAAGTTAGCAAGAGATGGCTCTAGGGCAGGTAAAAGAAAGCCCCAATCTACACAAAGAAGTAGAGCAAGAAACTTTCCTTGCTATAAATAATAAATAATTTCCTTGATATAAATAATTTCAAGAATTTGTAGATGGCATATCCAACAAGGTTTTTAATACAGTCGGGATAACCAAATTACTGTCATAAATGACAACTGCTAAAATACTGAAATGTAATCATGATTTTCAATAAAATGCCCCAATATCACTCCTAGAACTAGAAGTTACCAATCGAGTGACTGTCCAGTGTTTCTTATGGCTTCATTTTTAATTTATGAAGAACACCCTGGTTCTCATATTGTTTCCAAAATGTGCTACAGTATTACCTGTTCTTCTTCCGAACATTGTGATGAAGTCTGATGAAATACAGTTGTATTTCTAAGATGGTGGTCATTTGGTTCATTTTTATGAGTAAATTTTACTGAGGTAAATATTTTTCCAGAAGCGTCAGTTCCAAGTGCTCCTCTTTTGGTCACATTATCTTCTGAAATGATAAGTAGTATAGTATTAGAATGTATCCACCACATCTAATTCTGTTTATTTTGTGTTCATTTTTCCCTCCTCCAAAAATAATACTTTTCAAAGAACTATACAAGCAATGCTTGAGGCATTAAGCCCTCTTAATTATCAAAAGTTATTTCTAAAAATGCACAGAATTACACTATTTCATTCAGCATTTAGCAAATATTTATTAACAAGTACCTACTATGGATCTAACACTATTCTTGGTCATTGTTAAAAGATCAATAAAATACAGTATTTGCAAGACTTTTAGACATTTTTAGACTTCTCACATTTTTGCTAAATTTTAGAGATTTTTTCCTTTACATAGAAACAATGTATGGATAGTTTTAGAAAATTTCTAAAAAGAAAAAAGTAAACTATGAAACAAACTCATAATCCCATGATCCAGAATAACCACAACAAAATATTTTCAATGATTATCTTTCTGCTCTTTTATTATGAATCATGTACTCCTAAATATCAAAATGGAATCATGCTGCACATATTATAACACAATTTGCCAATGTTTCTTTTAATATTATTACATATTCTTTCATGTAATTTCAAGTTATAAAGCATTCTGTTATATAAATACAAAGTATTTTATTTAACCAATGTCTTTTCTGGACTACTTAAAATTACAAACAATAATACCTTTGAATTAAAATCCATGCACATTCATGATAATCTCCTTAGGCTAAGGAAAAAGCCTGAGATTAATTTAAAATTAAGAGACTGAGAAAATTTTAATATTATGGTACCATTAAACAGAAATGGAGGGTAATGGATTAAGTTGGGTGAGAGACAGTAAATCTAGCTCTGGTCATGCTGCATTTGAGTTACCAGTGGAAACTGTGGTAGTAATGACCCAAATGTAGCTGCATTTGTAGGCTACAATGTGGGAGAGAGATCATAACTATAGGTAAATAGATGACCATCAATTATACTGAAGTAATAGCTTAAGCCAGAAAATTATTTTTAATATCAGTAGTAATATTAGGAGAATATTAAAATTAATGAGTGTTAAGTCATTGAGTAAAATGTTTTTTATGAGCATCTCATGAATCATTGCATTTATAACTTGCAACACTGTTACTATCCCCACTTTAATTTACAGATAAGGAAACCAAGGCCAATAGAGAGATTAAGTAATTTGTTCAAGGATCAGAACCAGGCCTTCTTTTTCCAGACCCTTTTTTTTTTCTCCTAACCACTGTGCTTTGCTACCTAGAATAATACAGCAAATGAATGAAACGGTTCAGACTAGAAGAAGAAAAAAGATGGAAAATGTGAGGTGGGGGAGTCCAAGAAAGAAAAAAGAAGAAGAAAAGCATACAATTAGCCAAAGAAGACCCAAGGCTGCAAGATATAGTCCCAAACTGGAACTTGCTTGGTGACAAGAGCAAATATAGGAATCTCTGTCTCAGAATATAAGAAGAATGATTAAAAAAAAAATCCAAAAGCAGTCAAATGGCGGCAATCAAGCCACTGTCTATTGTTGGTTTCAGGAATCCTCCTCTAAGCCCTATGAGACTCTACTGTGAAAATGTTCCACAGATGCAGGGATGGTTTTGTCGTACATTCCTCAGGTGGGTTTCTAATGAAGGCTTGTGAGATAGCCTAAGTGGCAAAGTGCCCACACTCATTTCTCTTGAGCTATCAGTTACATGACATCAAAATCAGTGAGATGACCCCGTTGTGATGATCACAGCCCAGTGCAAGTCCAGTGCTGAAATCCCTTGTTTGTTTCTGAATACCCTCCCTGTTGTTGGTAGAATTAAGACTTCTGGGGATGTCCACTGAAATACTGTTGGGGAACAGACATAACTTAACCTAATGTCATTAATAAGCTACAGAGGAAAAACACAAATATTGAATGTATCACTTTCTCTTGAAAAGGTCATATCCATGAATAACACATGCTCAGACCAGCTCTCTACAACCGTCTACTGCACTACCATCAGAACTTCTAACTAGCCACTACAAGAGGTGATCTCTGCCTTTTGCTCCAACAAATCCCCAGCAACTCTGGCATAAAGTCCCAGCCTTGGGTACCAGGGATGGTGGGGCTGGGAGACTGAGTAAGGTGTTGGGAGGGTTGCTAAGACTACTGCTGAGGTGACCATAGAATAAGGAGGACCAAGTGGTCCAGGACTCCCAGATGTCTTCCTCTTTGATAGTCACAAAGATGTACTAAATCAGCCCCAAGGCAACTATGAGCAGTGGGAACAGGGTGCAGCGAGATAGGCATGGAAAGCCTTGGAAACAGGAGTTAAGAGGAATGAAAGAGTTCTTCAAACTCCACCAAAGTTACAAGGGAAGAGAAGACTTCCTGTGGCTGCCACTGCTTCTCAGTACACTGCTATAATAAGCCATAGAACAGCTTCAGTTCTCCCTGTTCATCTTTAAAATCAATCACAAGCTAAATCAACTATTTATTAAGAAAATACTATGAACCTGGCACAACACTGTTGTAAAAAGTGTTGACTTAAACACTTGAAAAGCACAGCAATGTGTGAAAATAAAAGATGTTCTATAAGGACAACTTCCATTTGTTCTCATGATCACTCAATGTAATCCTCTGCCATTTCCAGTAAAACTCTCAAGTTATCTGACAGGTAACAAAATAAAAATCCTTTGAAATAAAGAACAAAATATAATCAAGTCCCAGCTTCTGATGTTGACATTGCACTATTGTTGGAGTCTCAGATCTAACAAAATTCTTGTCGACTCTGAAAGTTCCCCCCTTTTGTAAACATAGTTTTAATTTTTAAAACACCAAAAGACGCAGTAAAGAACTTGTTCTGTGATTAAACCTATAGGTTAAGGCTCCTTCCTAAATGTTGAAATCAGTTTCACAAGAATACATACCATCTCCCTCCAAACACCCAAAACAGCTCCTTATAAAGGTTTTCATCCGTTTTTCAAACGAAGTACATAGTAACTCTATTGGCAGAACGAGATAGGAAAAAGTCCTTTTCAATAAGATAATGTCAAAATGGCAGATGCTGGCATAGCCTAGAACCTGAAGTGGTGGACGGTCTGATTGCAGAGCCAGCTGCTGTCTCCCAGAGTGACCCTGGTGGCAATCTACACGTGCCACCCAACTGTTCATCCCCTCTTCTTCTGTTTCTGTTTTTCATCAGAGTTCCTTACTACCCTTTCATCTTACCCCTAATGTTTCTTCCTTTGAAATACATGCTAGGCATAATACAGCTTAGAAATCTAACAGCAATGTTTCAGAGAACAAGTAGGTTGAGACCTGAAAGAGTATTTCTTTGGACATTTCTGAGCCAAAACTTCAATACATGAGACAAAGCTTTTCTAAAGGTGTTCAGAGGTTTCATTATTCTGAAGCAATGGAATTTCAATTTCCTTTTGATAACAGATAAGCTTCCAACAGACTGGCCTTACAAGGCCACCACAACACCTTCAGCCTCTAATTTGAGAAAAAAGGAAAAGGTCACATTCCTTGAAAAAAATGAAAACTTTTGATGCCCTGGTAAATTAGACATTAACCACATATTGATTATATATCTTCCAGATAAAGGTGATTATTTTTGGAGAACTTGATTTTGAAATAAACTTTTTTAAAACATTAAATTCCTCCATGCAAAAGCCAGACAGATCAGTGCCCGTGTGCTGAGAAGAGTTTCCACACTTTGAGAAAAGTTTTCTCAGACCTGCACAACCAACATCACAATTCATAAGCAGATCCTGAGAGCAACCTCCAAGTGTCTGTTACTCTGTACTACTATCAACAGCAACAGAAATCAAGAGCATGTCCCCAGTCACAAGATGCTGCATACACTGCTGGAAGGAAAGAATAAATTCATGGGGGAGAATATTCTATGCAACTCAGGGCAATTGCAAAAAACTGTCTAATAAGAGAATAGGGGATAAGCAATCATGCTTCTAACAAGGTTGGGTACTTTGAAAGTCAAAGGGTGATTTTCACATTATACTGCTAGCCTAGAGCAATGTTTCTCTGGACAATAATATTTGCTCTTGATTTGTCCAGCCAAACTACTTTACTCCACTGCTTCTTGATCACATGCTTCTTGGTATCTGGCCTCCCCTGGAGCAATAGTCGTTAGGATTAAATAAGCAATTTAAAAACCAATCAATCATAAATCAGGATAAGTCCAAAGAAGCTAAATTCAGCACATGAATGTTTTGTCTAAATTCCCTTTGCAGTGCTCTGAATTCCAACTGTTTTATGTTCTCTATTTGAAAGGGCACAGGGAGGAGAGGATTACCTCAGCCTGGCCAGTCAGGAGTAATTGTGCTTTCCCCCAGGCTGGATCATAATTGACTCATTATTCACAGTCACAGCCATCAACCTGCCAAGGCACAAATGCACAAGCCTGGCCTGGGTAAAAAAATTTAAAAAAATGTATGTCAAAAGCCGTAGATGAGGATCACAATGGCAGTAAGATGAAATTTTTGAAATGTCCACAGTTAGACACTTACAGAGCAAAAAATGTGGGAAAAAAAGCATAAAGTTGCTGGAAGATTATTTTCAGGAAGAAAAATCTATGTGATAACTGGATTATGCAGGTAATTAAATCAAAAAGTTCTATAAAAGGTTACACAGATGGGTAAGGCCCATCCTTGCTCTTACAGAGACTATAAATTACGAAGTTCTGGTATGCAAGCTACCAAAATAGAAAGTACCCAAGGCAGACATTCAGAAAATGGCAAAATCATAATTGGCTGGGGAGAATCACAGAAGACTTTACATAGGAAAAAGAGCATCTAAGCTGGGCTTTGAGAGAGAGCTACAATTTCAATAGGTGAGCACTATGAGGAGGTTATTCCACAAGGGGAAAGTCCATGAGCAAACCTGCCAAGATAAAATGCACAGGGCCTGCAGTAGAATCACTGAGTATTCGAGAAGATTGGAGTGCATATTCGGTGACAAATGGACAGATCAATGGAACAGTGTTCTTAAGAAGGTGAAACAGAGAGCAGAGTGGT